CCCCCCCCCCCCCAATTCGACATACATACTACATGCGTGTTAGGGCTGCATGGAGCGGGAGAGAGAAGCGCAAGAGGGAGGAAGGAGATGCGTGCATATACCTACAGGGATAAGCGAGAAATGTCAGCGATCCGGGGGGGAAATTGCGTAGTTTGAATGTTTTTTTGACTATATGGGCGAGCTGATGGGGTGGACTAGGGGTACGTTTTGGTGGAGTACTAGGGGGATTTTTCGCGGGAGGTGAGGTGGGGGTGGGACGGATACGCTAGGGTTGGGGGTGTGCTTTTTGCGGTTGGCTCGGGCCGAGTTATACCTCTTTTTTTCCTACTTCCTTTGCGTTTAGGCTAGGGGGTATTGTAGTAGTGTGGGTGTAGGGGAGTGTTACTTTTTTTTTCCTATTTAGGGGTTAGCAAAGTAGAATGTGGGGTTGGATGTGCCGGACAGGAAGGGAGATGAGTCTGTGTGGCAGTGTCAAGTCCAACGTGCAGTGTCTTGTTTTCGACTGCGATTCATACATGCACCCAAGTCTGCAGAAGACGGATCAAGCGGGCTTTCATGACTCAATGACGTGAGTCGCATGTACTTGTCCAGTCTTGGCTTCTACTAGGATTGCCGTTTCCATGCAAACCTACAGTGTCGATACGTATTTCCTTCCTCTTATGGTGTTGTTGTTACTTGGCTTTAGAGTGGGTATTTTTGACTAACACACCACTCCAAAAGACCAGATGACTGAGAGACCAAAGAAACTGGGACAGAGGACGGGATAGTCTTGAACCTCCAATGTATCTATTCACTAATCCCCTTTAGTACTCGAAGGGCGGATGAAATCATCTCGCTATCCTCTGCAAGTAATTAGGGTACACAGGTGTGGATACCAAAAGAGGTGGTCTAGTTTCTTGGATGAGTATCCCGCTTGAGAGAATTCGCTTTCACCTGGGTTGTCACACCTCCGTCGATCCGTAGGAATCAAATTCCCCAACTCTGCTGTAATGGGGAAGATGCGGCGGAATCCCGAAAGCGCAATTGCAGTAGAATGGCACCATCCTAATCTGAAACAAACTTGCCTAGTCACTACTTGTTGATTCACCCAATACCGTTCGGGATCTGCAGGTTTTCGAGCAATGCCTGCTTATGCTCTCCAAGTCGGTCCGATAGACTTGCTTCTCCCAATGAGCATTCAATTGCAATCATGTGATGGGTCATTTTTCTCTCGTGGAGTGGAAATAACGTCACACATTTTTGGTGCATGCAGACGTTTTGCGTGCGTGTGAGGGACAATGCATTCTGCCTAACCGTCTTGTGTTCATCCTGCATGGGGCGTCCGGTTTAACCAAAAGTGGAAATCGCCTACCGGTACTTTCTAGCGCAAGGGTCTTGGCTCAATAGACTACGCCAGCATACGTTCGACCTTCACTGTGCAAGGTGACGCAAGGGTACTTGAACCCTTGTTTGGATAATCGGATGGTGTTTGCGTAAGGGAATCGGCCAGTTCTTAATGAAGCTGAGCCGAGGCCCTGGTTAGAGTCGTGCGATACATACGCGATGGACAAGGATACATGTTGGTTTCGTGTATACCAATCAAATTCATAGTCGTCGTAATGATCGGTAGTCGAGGGCACGGCAGTCGCCCCCCCGATCACTCCATAGCATGACATTGGACGTCAAAGGTCTATTCGGATACTGTGGATGCTGCAATATCCGAGCATGCTTACGGTATTAAGAAGTTGACTGGATAATCAGTGTGACACAGCATTCCCAACGGTCGAACATATATATGAATAGCTAGAGTAGGCGGAAGCAATACGGCATGCCCGATGCTGGCAGCATGGAACGCAGTTCATAGCTAGAGTCTGGGCGAGGCCTGACCACTTGACAATATAGGAAGGAGCATAGAGTATAAGCACTGAACATGTGAGCAGTCGGGAAACAAATATCTTGTTGGATACCACTTTGGATATGATACAAAGAGCTTCTCTTTCACGTGTTGTTTGTGAATCTAATACGTAATGTATATTGCGACGGGTGATCAGAAAGAAGACAGCATGCGTCGAATGTTTTTAGAATGCGATTAGGGTGCACATGTTGAATATTCAGAGAAAGCCAACGACAACGATTGGAGAGGTATGGCTCAGAACCACAGTCGGTGGGTAATACTCAGGTCTATCCCGGCCTGGTGGTCATTGGTGAGGGTGCCGTAAAGGTTCAGGCCACAATCACTCGTATTGAAGCAGACGCAGTGTATTTCCGAAGTCAACAAATCCCAGTCTGACTCTTCATGCATTGGCCGCTGTTTGACCGGTTCGATAAGAACAAATACTAAATTGACGTGTGAGATACGGAAAATGATTCGAATGTGGACGAATTAGAGATATTGCCGTTCAGAAATAATGCTGCATGGTCAGCAGGGGTGCATGCATGTCAATTTTAACCGGGAACTGCGACGATCGGCCCGCGGACAGACTGTTCGGGACTGGAGGTTGAGCTTGGATGTTGAGGTTGCGGGGCTATGGCTCACGACACCTTGCACCCACGTGATAGGGAATGCATGCATGCAGACGGGAGGGATCAAGCCCAAACCCAGTAGCCGACATGAGCGACTGTGTGGTCCTGTCGATCAAAGTCATGGTCTCACTCAACGTAGAGCGTGGTATTAGTGCAGTAGTGTAGGTATTGATTTTCTGCAGACGCCACAATACCAGGTTTTAGCAAATCCTGCTGTGCACCCTGTCTAGACGTGCGTCGAGGTACCTGTCTCATGATTTGGTAACCTCAAGACTGCACGGCTGCAGCAACGACATAGAAAGTTTACCAGTCCTCTGCTTCCTGGGAGTGGTATGGACACGACAATGGGCGAGCGGCAACCTCCTCCACCGCTAGTCGCTCACTTTTTCTTTTTGTCCTTTATCTTCTTTTTGGACTCTGCCCCGCTACTTGCCCCGCTGCCGCCTGCCTCGCCTGTCATCTCGGCCATCATGTCCTGTAAAAAGTTCTCGCTGACACCGCCTCCTGTTAGGGCTGGAGAGTGCAAGGGGAGAATCTTGTTCATCTTCCAGCCCTTGGGTATCGCTGGTTCTGGCATCTCCTTGGGCATGGGTAGACCTGCAATTGGCAGTCGGAAGGGAGTGTTCTTCTGTGTTGGGTTCGCCTTGAGGGCTTGCGAGATGATGATGTAGAGGTGGTGCTTATTTTTAATCTGCTGGTGCATGTTCTTACCCTCGTGCTTTAGTAGAACACGCACTCTACCAGGGTTGCTCCAGTCCTTGGGGTGGGTCTTGTCGGGCTCAAAGACTGTCCGCAAACCAAGGTCTGCTGCCGCGTCTGCCATTTCCCGGGCAAGAGGGTTTTCCACAGCCAGCTCCTTGCCCACACGGCGACCCTCCGCCCTACTTCGTGATATATCAAAGTATATGGGGTACAGGCATTGGTAGTGTTTTGACTTTTCGCGGTCCGTCGTCGTCTTGATCGAGGGCGATTGGGGCTGCAGCATCTGCGAGGCCATGGCTGGCGGCATCATGGTTGTGTTGCCGGTGCTGGGCGCATTGCTCGCATTCATCAGATAGGGAACGTCGTCAATGTCCATCTCGGACGGCTCGCTGTCCGAGTCGCTGACCTCTTCAACGCGGGGATTCATCTTGTCGGGCCTTGTGGCAGTGCTTTTCTGGTGGACGCTGTGCATGGGTCAGAGGTCGTGTGGGTGCGTACATCTCGTACATCGTCTACGGCATGTTGCCGTCGGCCTCACTCACCTGACGTAAGCCCGTCGACTTCAATGGGCAACCAAAGGTGGTGAATGTCGGCCACAGCGGCGGTTGGACGAATGTGGGGAAGCTAGAGGGACGGGCTTGGCAGCGAACGAGGCACTGCCGGTCCGGGTCGGCTTCTCGTTCTTCTGTGCGCTACGGCCCGGGTGCTGGCCTGCTCCGTCTCCGTCTCGGGCCCTTGATTGATAACTCCAATCCTTTAGCACCTCTCGGCCAACACTGACGGGCCCAGTGAATTTTTTTCGCCCTTCACCGCATGTTGGCACTTGCAAAAGCCCAAGCCTTTGCTGCAGGGTCGTGGCCACGATTGATTACCTGCCAATATAGCAAGGCCTGACGACTGTGGCCCTCGCCGCCACCCCCAAGCCGCCTTCGCTTCACTTGCTAGCGGATGCTCTGCTGCAAGAGCCCCCTCCCAATCGCTGTCCCAAACTCGAACCCTGGCGTCTGCAGGCTTGCTTTTTTCCCGCCGCCTCATACCGTCATGTCGTGTTGGTGTCACGGATTTGCAGCCAGTCTCCGTACACCCGGCTCCTCGTGGACCTTCCAAGCTGAGTAGAGTCCGACTATTTCAGGTCGACTACGGACGTACGAGTATAGACGCATTGGCGTCACCTGGCATGCCTCCATCGAATCATTGACCGACGGTCAGCCTCCGTATCCAAGATGTCGTCGAATGCTTCACCTTAGTGTCTTCGTGTCATCTTGCGGTTATTCACCCCTACCAGAACTTCCAGTCTGGCCATCGCACACAGTCACGTCAACTCACCAGGCATTCGCGAGGCCACTAGCCATCCATGACACCGGTCAGCCCCTTGTGGAGGCGCCTGCAGCGGCATGCACCAGGCTTGTCTTGCCTTTGGCTACTTTGGAGTACCTCTGCTTCTGGTCTGCAATGACGAAGCACTCTTGTCAATTGGCAATGCTTGTGTGCCTTTTTTGGCAATCGTTTCAAGCTGACTGTGTTGGAGTGTTCTCTTCTAGTCTCGTTACACAAGATAAACGGTTAATTCCGATCCGATCGCCCTGGCACTTACTAGACGCATGCGGATGTTGCAGCAGCAACCTTGCTCACCCTACTGCTACCACACAGGGGTCTCTAGGAATCCCCACATAACCATGTGGCAACAGCGCATTATCGTGTGCATTTGGGTCCAACTAACGCGAGGCTACTTTTGCTTGGTTCGGGTGCTGCATCCTCCCACATGCCTCTGTGGCTGCCCTGGCAGCAGGGCATAATCCATGGCCACAGGTTCCGCTATGTGTGCAGCCATTGTGCCTGTCCTCGGAGCGTCCGGCGCTTTGCCCTGACATGGCTGCAACTGTGCCGCCCTACTCTGGTCTTACACACAAAATTGTCCATGACACAGGGCTAACAGTCGTTTGATAACGTTGGAAACCACATGCTGTATGCAAGAGTGCCACAGCCAGAGGTGATTGGTCGGCCGGGTATACCTCTGGTAAGCAATTGACCGTTGAGTTTCCGCGAGAATGAATAAGCCCATGACTTTCCCAGCGCAACGCATGCGCAAGCTTCTTTCAACTTTTCAGCTAGTCATAAGCCAAAGCCATTTATCGGGGAAAAATGCCCCGACTCTAGTCCTCCCGCGCGGCTCGGAATATCAAACTGGATTCGGGTTGCCGACTTTGCAAACTATGGTCCTAGTGACCTGGGCCCTGATTACGTGGTAGACTTTCTGCTTCCAAAAGAAGCTTTACCGGTCATGTCGCATTGTGGTTCCATGAATAGCCTCGGTGGTATAAAGTTCAAGGTAACCCGCTCCGGTTCTCAAGATTCGTTAGTTCCGCTTCTGATTCATTGTGTCAATCCACTCAACTCTTCGTCAGAAACATATCTATATCATGGCGCCAGCCCTGTTGCTCGATGAAAGTAGCAGTTCCTGCACAGTGTCTGTTAACAGCGCTTCACCATCAACGGACAATTGCACTCCAGTAATGGCGGCTTCGTGGAAACGTCAGAACCGCCGGAGTCCACTTCTCAAACGCAGTGTGAGGAGTGTTCCACTCTGGCTCACGAGTGCGAAAGGAAGCTGGCTATCAGTCACCGATGGCACCAAGACCTGGAAGTTGTTTGATGCTTCTGGTGGGGCTGGAGTGTCCAACATTGGCCATGGCGACAAGCGAGTTCATGAGGCAATCAAGAGACAAGAAGAAACGGGAGTCGCATACGCAGCTTCTATGAGCTTCGACACAGAGGCAGCGTGGGAGTTTGCAGACTATCTTGTCGAATCGACAGGCGATGAGATGGCTGAGGTGGCCTTTTACAATTCAGGTAATGTGAGTTGGATGGACATTAGAACCAACAAGCTAACATGAGGCAGGCTCTGAGGCTACCGAAGCGGCTAAGAAACTGGCATATCAGTACCACTCCAAGTTGAAGCAAGAGGGCCAGTCTGGCCGACGGTGGTTTATTGCTCGTGATCGATCATATCACGGAGCGACGTTGGGTGCTCTTGAAGTCAGTGGGCACAAGGGGCGGAAAGACATGTACAAGCAGATTCTGCCCGACAACACGCAGTTTGTTTCTCCATGCAACCCATATCGAGACATGAGGAACGGGGAGACTGCAGATGAGTATGTGAAGCGGTTGGCAGAAGAGCTCGAGAGCAAGATTTGCGAGCTTGGTGCGGACACGGTGGCGGGCTTTTTTATGGAGCCAGTTGTGGGTGCGGTGAGTTGTGCACTGGGGGTTTGATACTTGGTATGGCGGCTCTGATGACTGACATTGTTACGCAGGCACTTGGCTGCGTTCCAGCATTGCCTGGCTACCTAACGGCCATGAAGAAGGTGTGTAAAAAGTACAATGTACTCTTCATACTGGACGAAATCATGTGTGGCATGGGACGTACGGGCTACATGCATGCTTGGCAAGAGGAGGGGGTGGTTCCAGATATTCAGCTGGTGGGCAAAGCGCTTGCGGGGGGCTATGCAGCAGTTTCGGCACTGCTTGTTAGTGCAGATATCGTCGACACCCTCGGAAGTAGCTGTTTTGCTCATGGGCACACGTTCCAGAACTTCCCAGCGGCATGTGCCGCCGGTCTGGCGGTGCAGAAGATTGTGCACCAGGACCATCTTGTGGAGAATGTCAAGGATAAAGGGGACAAGCTAATGAAGAAGTTGGTGGCGCGTCTTGGCGATCATGCTAACGTCGGAAACATACGTGGAGCAGGTCTTTTCCGAGGGGTAAGTTTGGCAAAATGTTCAAGTGCTGGCGAAGCTGAGCTGAGTGTTGCAGATTGAATTTGTACGCGACAAAAAGACCAAGGCGCCATTTGACCCGGAGGCAGCCATAGCGTGGAGAATTCACGAGCAAGGTAGGTTTTCCCTGAGTTGCTATTGGGGCATTGTAGAATGCTGATTTGTGTGTACAGGGCTGAGAGACGGATACAATGTCTACGTTTACCCAGGGTCCGGCACCGTTGATGGCGAGCGCGGAGACCACATCATTATTGCCCCACCCTTCAACATTACGGACAGCGATGTCGACACGATTGTTGAGAGCGTGGGCAAGCTGATTTTTGATTTTTTCGAAGACATTAACAGCCCGCCCAAGTTGTAGTCGACTGTTGCTATGGTCGAGCGGTATATATTTGGTTGGGTCACTACGAATGATGATGCACGAATTTCCTTCATGTCTGTTTTCCATGGCGGCTGCCATGGCTAGTATCTGGTCTGGAATGATGGACGGGCAGTTGCCAGAAAAATTTGCATGGGATCGGCTGTTTGAACATGGTGTCTCGAATGGGGGCTGTCTGACTATGGATTAAGAGCGTACTGTATCGTACCGTACTCCAGTACGTGGAGGAGGATAGATTGTTCTTTTTGCGAGTCAGGGCTCTGTCGGCACGCTCGTTTAATGACTTTTTTTGTCTGAGTATGTCTTGTTATCAATTTGGACACGGGTAGATAGCCAAAAGATTGATCAGCTTTGGCATGGTGGGAAGCAATGCGAAGTGGAGTGCACGGCTTTTGAATGTAGACCTAGTAGACTGGGGCAATGCAAGCGATGTTCGGTCTTGATATCCACCAATGGGTGATGTGTCTGGCACGTGCCGAGAGGCAATTGCGCCGCCGCCATGAATGCAGAAAGTCACCCACGACTCAGCCTTGGCGGCTATACCAGCGCTAGGACGCAACAAGGAGGCGCACAAGAGGGCGCGTCAAGGCGGCTGACAGGCAGCGGATGGACAGAATGGAGGGCCATGGGCTATTGAGCCGGGAGCGCTTGGACGGGCTTTGGGGAGTGGGAGCAGAAGCGCAGGAGTGGTGGAGGGCGAAGGGCAGACGTTGGACGATGACGTTATTGGGTGCAGTAGCAGAGTGGAGTGCAGCAACCGTGAGGCGAGCAGTGGGTGGGCTGAGTAATGGCTGAGCCAAGCGATACCGATGGGGCATGCTGCAGCAGGTCTCACCTCAGCCTATACTCAGGCACATGTAGTGAGGGAGCAGTTCCGTTCCTGGATCAATGGGTGGATGTGTGTATGTATGTATGTAGCAGCGGATAGCAGAGCGAGAAGAAGAAGGAGGAAAATGTGTCATGGTCAGAAAAGGGTGTTTTAGCGTTAGTCGAGCTGCGGCAGGGACCGCGCTCGTATTCAGGCATAAGAGCGGAAGCGACAGCAGCCAAATCGGGGCACATGGTAAAGTGTATATATTGGAGCTACATAGTTATATAACTTACTACTATATATACGACGACGACACCGACGACGACGGGCGAACGCATTCGACAAGTCGCTCCCCCAGGGTCATCGTGGGGGACATCATCGGGCCTAAAGAATTATGTGCAGACGCCTATTCTCAACAAAAGACGAACTTGGCTGCAAGGTAAGGCTGGTTGGACAAGCAGATGACATGCTGGATGGGCGCAGGACCGTTTGTTTCTCGTGACCATGTTGCGCGCATACCGCTTCACTCTGGCGGCGTCATAGGAGCAGACAAGCGGTGTCTTTTGGGCCGAATTGCTGCATCAAAGTAGGAAGCCAGGAATTAGTAGGTAGGGCATTAGATAGCCAAGGTACTCTAGATGGGGTAGAGAGCCGCACGGCTTCTTCTCCGTCTCCTGTGGGCTGGGCATCTGGACGTGTGCGACGGTTTCGAGACGGAGACGGAGCCGGAATTGTGTTTATGTGTAGATGGATGGATTCATTCATGGATGGCTCGTGGATGGATGGGCAGAGCAGCAGATGACTGGGTGCCCCCCCTCCTCTTCGGGCTATTCCTTGTAGAGTCGCAAGCTCAAACTCTGACCTGCCCAGGCCGTCGTCCTGGCCTGGCTCGAGAGTGGCGCGAGACGCGAAAGAGAGACGGTCGCTGGCGTGCCGCGAAAGCGAATGACGACCAAGTGGACCGCACAGGCCCGGCTTCTCACCACAGACTCCGCAAGTGTCATCTCGACCTTGGCTGCCCTCCGTCTGGCGACCACGACGCTTTTCTGCCTTTTGTTCGGGCATGTGTGACTACAGCCTTTGTGCCTCGCCCTTCGCCCTCTGCTGCCACCACACCACACACCCATCCTAGCCCGCCCAGCTGACGCCGCTCTGGCTCACGCACACCCTTCAACCGACGTGAAGGCCCTTTCTTCTCCGCACCCCCGGAGACTCTGAGCCAGAGAGAGAGAGCGCCCTCGACTGGCCAGGCCTGCCGCCATAGCACCCGCACCCACACCCACACCCACCACCACCAACAACACCACGCCCGCGCCCTCGAGTGCATCGCCATCTGTGCTGCCTCCTGGTCGCCCGTCTCGCCCTCGTCGCTCCCGCTGCTCGCCTCGCAGTGCTCGCATCCACGGCTGCCCTGCGCCGTCCAGCAGCCTCGTCGACGTGCTTGACCCGCTAGGCTGCGCAGAGCGAAAGCAGCGTCACGACGTCGCTTCTCGAATGCCCCGGGACGACGGCCCAACCATGTCTACACCCTCCACCGCCACGGCCACACTCCCGCCCCATCATCAGTTTTATTCGCACCACCACGCTTACCAGCCAAACATCTCCAATGCCCAGGTTGCCAACGGCTCTGGTCGGATAGGCAATTCGCTCTACAACGGCTACGCTAGCGGCTCCTCGACCTCTGACCTGCGCCGAACCGCTGCATCTGCAACTGCAACTGCCCACAACAGACAACCCCCCCAGCTGCCCCCCATCCCTCACCCAGCCCCGATCGACATGAGCGCGACCGACGCCGGCTCGGCTCATCGACGCCGGAACCCGGACTGGGCCGATTTTTACAAGAACGGCATCCCCAGAGAGGTCATTGTTATCGACGACGACGACGATGATGACGATGCTGCACACGCTGCCGCAAACTCGTCGGCGCGCCATGCAGACAAGAAGCGCAAAACAACCGCGTCGACGGCCTACGACCCCGTCTACAACCAGCATACCTCGTACTCGACTACCCAGACGCCCTACTACGACTCGCCCAACCACTCGCTATCCACCGACAGGACAACCTCTGCCCTCAACACCACTGCGCCCACTTCGCTCGGCTCCCAGGTCAGCAATGGCCACAACATCTCGCCCCACGACACCACAGCCGCTGGTCAGAAACGGAAGCGCACACGCGCCGTAGTCCAGGACGAAGCAAAGCAGGCCAAGCGACGAGAGCTAGACCAACATGACGACCCTTTTAGCCTCTACCAGCCACCGCCCAACCCAGTCATCAAGGCCAAAGATGTTTATGTCCAGGTCATCCAAGACGTAAGTCACACACACACACACACACACATGCCCGCCTCTTGTTTCAGAACACCAGATACTGACGCGACTCAGAAATCATACAACAAGGATCAAAAGGTCGACGACGAAGACGGCCACTACATTGTAGTCCCAGATGCCGACCTCACCGAGCGATGTACGTTGCTCCCACACCGCCATGTGTTACTGTGGATGCTAACACCTGACCAATAGATCAAATCACAAAGCTGCTCGGCCAGGGCACGTTTGGCAAAGTCGTTCAGGCCTATGATAGGCGAAAAGGCACAAACTGCGCCATCAAAGTCATCAGATCAGTGCCCAAATACCGAGACGCCAGCCGTATCGAACTGCGAGTATTGTCGACACTGGCTTCCAACGATAAGCACAACATTAACCGATGCATACACCTGCGAGATTGCTTCGACTACCGAAACCATATCTGCATTGTTACTGACCTCTATGGCCAAAGTGTGTTTGACTTTCTCAAGTCCAACGGCTTTGTGCCATTCCCCAGCTCTCACATCCAGAAATTCGCCAAGCAGCTTTTCACCAGCGTCGCCTTTCTACATGATCTTAACCTGATCCACACGGACTTGAAGCCAGAAAACATCTTGCTTGTCAACAACAACTACCAGACTTTCACGTACAATAGAACTGTACCATCATCGTCTACCACGGTCAACAGGACCGCACGACATCGCAAGGTCCTTCTTGACCCGGAAATCAGACTCATCGACTTTGGATCGGCCACCTTTAACGACGAGTACCATTCGTCTGTTGTGTCAACCCGTCACTACCGTGCGCCAGAGATTATTCTCAACCTAGGCTGGAGCTTCCCCTGCGACATTTGGAGTATCGGATGCATCCTGGTCGAGTTCTTCACTGGCGACGCCTTGTTCCAGACGCACGATAACCTTGAGCATCTGGCCATGATGGAAGCCGTCTGCAGCGGCAAGATTGACCGGGATATCGTGCGAGCAGTCTATAAGCAAGACCGTGGATCATCACGCAACTCGGCAAGCTCGTAAGTAGATACATGCGCTGTGCTGAAGAAAGTTTCTTTGCTGACATGACTAGTGCTGCGAGATATTTTAAGAACTACAAGCTCGACTACCCCAATGCCGAGACCAACAAAGCGTCCAAGAAATATGTCAAGGCGATGAAGAAGCTCCCCGTACGTCCAGCCACAATGCATGACTTGACGACGACTAACGTGTACAGGAAACCATCCCTGCCCACACCGACTTCAACAGGCAATTCCTCGATCTACTACGACGCATCTTCGTGTATGATCCCAAGAAGCGAATCACGGCCAAGGAGGCTCTGCAACACCCTTGGTTCAAGGAATCGCTCATGGACGATGGAACAGAGGCCCACAAGATCAAGCTGGAGCGGGAGAAGAAGGCCCGCCGGGCGGAAGAAGAGCGCCGATTCCGTGAACAGCAGCGACAGTACTGAGGCGGCCTCGTCTTTGACGTTCTTGGACAGGAACGTCTTTGTATAGATATCGAGTTCCGCCGTGTTGGTGAGGGATGCAATAATGGCGGTGGTTTTGTCTTTTGCTTCACATCTACCGCATTTACGACAGCGACATGACGCATGGAGAGAAGGGTTTACTCTAGGTCTCATTCCGGACTTATTGGCGTTATGTGTGTTCTTTTGTTATCTTGGATTACCAATTATTCTCCCATCTTTCCTTTTTGTTTGGTTTCCGCGCGCCCACGGAAAAGTATTGTTTGTCTTGCGCGCTTAGCATAAGAACAAATCTGTATACCACAATGTCTGCACGTGCAGCTTCGGGAGGGTGGCAGGGAAGGCTTGTACTTGAGCGGTGGCTTGAGAGCCACGGTTCGTCGTCGTCGTCGTCATCATTATCATCACGGGGAGAGCGCCATGTTGTAGTATGCACTAGACAAATGTCTCGTGCTAGACATGTGGTTGCGTTGTATTATATAGGATTGGAAGAGGTGGTGCTAGAGGCACTGTATTGCGTATCACGATAGTTGAATAGGCTGTAAGCAATCAACTGCAAGTATGCATTCCTCACTTGTCAGCAATCATTACGCATCTTGTTTCCGTTTGTTCGAGATGGATGATCAAAACATATAGTAGTATTCGGGAATAATAACCGCTGTCTCCGAAATCATCATTTCCCCCTCACGTCTCACCTGCCGGCTCGCAGTCTTCCGCACGCAAGGGTTCCAAACGAAGCGGCTTTAGCGAGGCCCGCCTAGCGCGTGTGTGACCCTGGTCTATCGTCAGACGCCCGTTGGGGTAAACACACGTCCCCTCTCGGCGCGTGTCGCAAAACATCCCGGTGGGCATTTGCGACAACAGCAGCAACGCGAACGGCGACAGGGACAAGGGACAAGATGGCGAGCGCAAAGCAGCAGGAGAATATGCTCCTTACCGAGCACTTTACTTGGCCTCCGATTGTATGTGTGATCCCGCAGTGAAAGGTGGTGATAGTGTGGATTTGAGCAAATGTTTGGCGGGGATGCATGTTTCCCAATTCCTAAAGTCATGAATGCCAAAGAGAAAAAAAACGGGCGCATACGGCGCATGGTATGAGACAATGATCTGACGGTGTAAATCTTCCAGTCCCTAATCGACGACATTATCAACGCTGTCAACGAAGTCCTATACCGCTGCACCGACTCCTTCGAAACTGGCCTCTCATCCGCGGACCCAGCCCTACTCGGCTTCGCAGACCTCTACGCCTCGCAAGGTCGCACACCGCAGAAAGATGAAGACGGAAACAATGTATATCCTGAGGCGCGACTGGAAATCGAAGAAGGAGTCTTGAAACTCGAGACACTCATGGAAAATGCGGTAGACAAGAACTTTGACAAATTGGAGATTTGGACGCTGAGAAATGTGTTTGCGCTTGGAAGAGGGAAAGGCGAGGATGAAGGACTAGGAGATTGGGTCAGATTAGGACATTACGAAGTATGTATTTCCTTCTTTATACACCATCAAGGAGTTGGGAAATCTAACATACAAAAAAAAAATCACCAGAACATCCAACCCCCCTCCAAAGACACCAGCCTAACGCCCGAATCCCTCTACACCCTCCGCCGCAAACTCCTCGAAACACGCACTCTCCATGCCGCCCTAATCGCAGAAAAAACCCGCAACGAAGCCCAAATCGCGCGCCTAAAATCCCTCCTCAGTCCTCCATCTTCTTCTTCTTCCACGCTGCCAAAGCGCGAAACACGCAGCTCAACAACCTCAGCTACAGAAACCTCAAGCAACACCGACACCACCACCACCGCACCCTTCGCCTTCCTCTCCTCAACCCCTGCAGCCCAAGCCCTAGGCATCCAAACCACCCCCCAGACAAGCGATAAAGCCGCAACAACAACAACATCTCCACCACTAACCACCCACACCACATTCACAACAACACAACTCCCCTACCTCCGCCAACTCGTCGCATCCCTAAAACCCCATCTCGCCTCCTCTACCTCTTCATCCTCCACAGCAGGAGCGCAAGATACATCACAAGACCGCAGTGCCCAGCGTCGCCTCTACATCGAAGCCCAGTCTAAACGCGTGCTGGAGCGGCGTGGGGTGGATACTACGGATGGGGTCGAGGGCGCGTGGGAGGTTGGTGGGACGAGGGTTAGGGGCGAGGAAGTTAGGGGGTTGGAGGGCTTGTTTCCGGGGAACAAGATGGAGAAGGAAGGGGAGGTGGAAGAGGGAGATAAGATGGATTTGAGTTGAGTTTGAGGTAAGGGGGAATGATTTTATTTTTCTTTACTGTAGGGCGTTGTGCGAGGGTGAGGGATCACAGTCGGGGCGTATGGCTATGGAAATAAATGGTATGACTTGTTCGTTATTTTTTTTTTGAAAGAAAGAAGAACGGTTGAATATGTGGGGATTGTTAATGAGCTTGGGTATACTAGTGGTTTCTTGGAGTTTTTTTTTTAAATATGCTACTACGTGCATGACATACCTCATGTCATTTCTTTCCATCAACTCGTCACATCCGTACATTTCCTGTTCATACCATCATGAGTCATCCATCATCTCCTTCCACCCCATACACATCCACCCATATCTCAATACTCTACAAGCTTAATCCTCTGCAGCAACTCCTCAGGCAACTCGCTCTGACTCACAATACCCATCCTAAGGGCATCCCCCCAGACAAACATGGCCCGGTCATTAGCATACTGCAAGTAATCGAATTCCTCCTCGTCCTGCGGCTTGAAAAGGTCAGCCTTATCTTCCATCTGCGCCTGCGCCTGAATCTTTGCCGCCGTTTCTTCACTCACTGTCCCCGTGCTCTTTTGCTCTGCTTTAGCTGTGGCTTCCAGCTCGGCAGTTGCGCTGTCTAGCGTTGCTGCCTCTGCGCTTGGGTTGTCGCTCGTCTTATTGTCTCCGCTCTCCTCGTCAAAGTCAGGGAGGCCCGGGATGTGTGCTTGGACTATGCCCCAGGCAACCCACATGGCCGAGTTGGCGAGACGCCAGAGTTTGGTTTCTGCCAGGAGGCGGCGTGTTTCCTCTTCAATCTGTCGCTCGTACTGGGCTTCCTGCTCTTGATACTTTTCGCCTGGAGGAGCTCGTGAGTCGAGCATAAAGGCGGAGATGCTGCTTGGGGCGGCTGTTGCTGCCAGGGCAGTCGTGCTACCGGAAGAGGGAAGCGGTCCGAGGTGTGGTGTAGGAGGATTGGATGTGTATCCGCCACTGGCCTTGTACGAGGGGTTGTGCATCAAGTACGCCCGGATAAAACGATGCTGCTCTTCGATTGTTGGATAATACTTAGTGTTACAACGCCAAGGAGCTTCTGTATCGTGGTAGTTGTACGTCCATTCCGTCTGGAACATCATGTCAGCTTGTCCTTAGATCATGGCCATGCCCATCGGGCGCTGAATAAGAGTTGACGAAACGGATGAAGCTTACGAAGTGATTGGCAAATTCCAACCCAGGAAGATTGGCGTTTGCATACTCGAAATCGATAACCACCAGCTGCTTGTGCTGATTTGCCGGTAGCATCAGTGGCGACTCGCCTTCTGGCATCATGCGAAGGATATTTCCATACTGGGTCTGTAATCGAATTAGATTATACCATTTCCGCTTCGCGTTGCGACTCACATCATTATGGGCAAAGATCATGCGCTCGTTGATCTTATCAAGACCGCCATACTGATCTTCTAGCCACTTCCGGTACTTGTATATCATTTGCTTGAACACGGGCCATTCGGCGCCGCACACATATCCTCGCTTCTTCCATTTATCCGAAGAGGCTCTGGAGAGGCCCTGGCTGCTCTCGCGGACCTGTTGATCCAACCAGGTCACAATATGTTCGCAGCGATTGACCCACTTGTCCCAGTTTTGCCAAACAAACGGACCAGCCTCTCGCTCTTTCTTCAGCAGATCAATACCCTCGTGAAGTTCTCGCATACGCTTTGCTATTTGCACCGAGGTTTCTGGGTTACGTAGCTCCTTGGAAGTAAGTGGTTGGGCATGCAGGAACTCTTCAAATCGACCATTGCCAAAAGTACCGAGCAAGCGTGGGCCAATACGTTTGCGGGCAAGTCGCGTCAAGATCTGTAATTCCGACTCTCGGTCGATCAGGTGTTCTACCTGTGGACCATAGATACGAAGTAGGAGCTTACTGAAAACAAAGATGTTAGAAAAATGCGGAGTGGCCTGCAACAACACTTACGGTGGAGGATTTCTGGGCTTTGGTGGACCATCTTCGCTCTGCTCGGGAGCCGGTAGATTCTTAGGAGGAGAGACGACGTAAACGGCGTTTGTAAGCGCACCGCTCAATCTTTGTACGTTGATTTCGTTGCTCAGCTCGCTGGGCACCTTCCTCCATCCCTTCAATTTCAACGTGTGGGTAAGACGAAGAATTTCAGCTCGAAATTTGGACCAAGCCTCTTTCTCCTTGTCCGCTACATCAACGGTGGACTCGGCTCCAGGCTCGTCGACGTTGTATGCCATGGTCTTTGAATTGTCCAAAGTGGCTTCACAACTAGGGACGAGCTGATCTACCGACTCAAAGTAGTCCGAATCAAGAGAAATTGCAGAGTGTCGCTTCAAGCCAATGGACGACCTGTGCATGTGATGCCTCTTCTTGGCTTCGGAAAGCTTCAAGCTCATGTTCCTTTCGAGAATTTGTGCCAGTTGAGTGAGTGCATCCTCGCCATGGGAGGAGTCAGAGTCGCTCCTGTGATGAGAGATGGACTTCTCGAGTGCTTCTGCTGTGGCGCTCTCAGACTCATGGTCAATGACACCCGCTTTGGCAGCCTTGCGTCTTGCCCTTCGTGCATGGCGCCGGCTTCGCTCCTGCTTGAGCCAGGTGCCTACCTGTTTCAACAGGTTCTCATGGGCTTGGTGGCTATGGGAAGCGGCATCAACTGAGCCTTCTGGAAGTAGCGAGGTCAAGGCAGTGCTGGCGTCGACCACTCCAGATTTGGATGACCCCTCGCGTTCATAGGAAGGACGGCCGGACAGGCGCTTTTTACTGACACTTGCTGGAAAGTGCCTGGGAGGCTTGTCAAGATCCAAGTAGTCTTTTTGGTCGAGCTCCTTGTTCTTGCCGATGATCAATGGGGAAATTGTGCTGTCATCGGGAAAGGATACGACTGCAGATGTATAGTAAGCAACTGCGCTGGATCTGAATTGCTTGCAAAGCGCAGAATCTGTACAAAAGGGAATACAGTCTCTGTTCCCAGGCGTCTTCGATTTCAAGTAGGCTACCTGAGGAGCTAGAATACAGCCACACGTGGGTTACGGAAAGCCTAAAGCCTAGGCGTCTTCAAGACCGCGGAATGATTGTTGCACATGAACCAAGTACCACCCAAAGCCCGTACCCCGCCATACGTGCAATGTAACAAAGTGATAGAGTTTGCGTGCAACCAGGAAACAAGAGACAGATTGACTAACCTTTGCTTGAGCGCGGCGATGTACCGTCGTCCAAAGTGTTGTTGCGCGAGAGGGCTAGAGAGTCGCTTGACTGTGGGCCAGCGGGCTGCTGGGCCTGCCAATTGGAAGAAGAGGCCATGGTCTGGTAATGCTCGAGGGGAGTCTGGAGCAGTCCGGCTAGGTAAGTAAGCCGGATCGGCGAGAGAGATAGCAAAAGTGTTGGGAACCCTGTTCCCGAGGCGTGAGAGTCTGTGACAACAGCCGCTCCTAAATGGTGGCAGGAGGATTGGGCCGCTTGGTGGGCGGGCGGTTGTGTGTGAGCGTTATCGATACCCAGGCCAGGGCAGGCAGGACAGAATACGCGAGTAAGGGGTCCACGTGCCAAGCTGATTGGCGGTCAGGATCAGCTGGGAAAGCAGCGTCATGGCATACAAGACAGCGACGGGGATGCAGAGAAACCACCAAAACACGCGTCGAACCCATTGTGACTCGGGGCGTCATGGCCATGGCAAGCCCAAGGTACATCCCGGCGCCCCTCTTGCTGCGCGCTGCTTTGACAAGAGGTTCCATGTGTGGCGGAGGTGGGCCTGGCAGTGTACAAACAGCCAAACCACAACGAGATAAGCAAGCAAAACACCAGTGGACAGAAAACCTGCATTGTGGAATGTGACGAAATTCAGTACGTAGTGCACACGTGGCCAAGCCTCCGTGCCATCTTCTCTTGTGGTAATGAACAACAAATCTAACTAGTAAAATACTCGTACAGTGCAAGTGCAGCTTTGCAATCCACATGCAAGCCGCTTTTGGACGTGGCGACGGAGCCCTGCAGAGGCCTATCCAAGGCCTACTTACGTCACAACGCGTAGTCAAACGCCAAACTCCAAAACGCCGCGCTGTAACAAACACAATATCCCTGTTTTTTCGCCATGCACTCAAGTACGTGTAGGTGTATACAATTTCCTTGCTAGTGCCACATGCGCAACCTGGCGCCTGCACCTGTTTGGTGTCCCGCTCTGCTCGTTCATGTTGCCCATTCCACTGTTTCCAATGCAAGCATGACCAATAGTAGAGTCGATGGTAGAATCCATACCACGTAGCTCTGAAACAGGATCCGCGACATGGCGCCCATGTACACATTGTTGATCTGGCAGATCTGCGCAAGTTGAAGCGCGCTGGGTGCGCCGCTGAGAAGGAAGCAGACAATAATGAAAATCGGGTCGTCGAGGATGCTGACGGGCACATACTTGGCAGTCAGGGCCAGCATTGGTGCCATGAGAAGCGTTGGGATGAGCATGCGGCTGATAAGTGAGGCAATGACCAACTTCCTCTCTACGCTGGGGTCCTCGATTGAGTTTTGGTCCTCCTTTGGTAGCGTGTTGCGGGCAAGATTGGCGCCCAGCACAACCAGAATCAGGGGCACAGCCACTTGTCCGCTTTGATTTACAGCGCGCGTAACCGACGTGTTGATGAATGTTCCAGGGGTGAAGAACAAGCGTTGTAGCGATGGAATAGAGGCGACGAAGATGGCAATCAGCATGGCCCAGAGGGGAGGGTTCATAAAGTCCCACACACCCCTGGCGAACTTGGACAAGCCCGAACCGATCTTGGACAGGGGTCCTTGGAGCCCCTTGGGCAAGCTGTTGAAGACGCGGTTGCCAGCGCGTGTCGTTGACACGGATACGGAAGTCGCCGAGCGTTGGAGTGCCAGTCGAGCTCGCGTGGGCATACCCTTGATGCCCTTGGGCGTGTCTTGTTGTTTCTTGTGAGCTGCGAGCACGCCATTGAGGTGTCCGTTTGCGAAAGTGCCCTTGGGGTTCCCGCTCATGTCGCCAGCTCCGGGAACTGTT